GTTTTTATATCATCATCCGATATATATCGTTATATGAACAGCCCTAGTCCCAGTTGTAGCAAGTTTGTGAATAGAGTTCCATGTCATTGTGTTTCACCTGTGCGCTTATTTTTCTATCATAAAACAGAGTGTTGATTTGCTTTATTTTGCTTCAGTTTTCCCCTCACCCACTTCTCAGTGTATTCTAGTTAAAATGTTCTTAAAGTCGAGTTTAAATTCTTAATAGCTTACCCATGTTTTAAAAGTGCTTTACACAAGTCAGTGCACAGTGGCAGATACTTTAGAGGCACAGAAAAAAGGGTGAATGCAGCAGTGGACAAAGCTTTCAACATTTAAATTCCTGTAAAAATAAGATTTCTTATTTAGTTCCCCTTGTAATGAGTGGGCTGAGTTTTTAAGGTCTGCTTGAGAGAAAAATGGGAAATTCTGGCATATTTCTCAGTTGAAAAAAGTGCGACTGCACAACCTTGCTAAGTTTTATGTCAAAACAAAACTGAGTTAAAAATCACAGATTGATTATGAGCAAAATTCTTGATGTTGGAGGACAGATTTCTAAGCTGACTGGGTGGAAGTCAGGAACAAACCAAACTGATTTGGAGACTTTTACTTTGAAAACCATTTCCTGCTGTTGATGACGAAGATGAAGCTACAGGATAGCGATGGGCGGGGCTACTTCAAATTGTTTGTTCAATTGTTGATTCATTAATTTTTAAACAAGTTACAGGTCAGGTATGTGAAGAGTGGTGGATAAAAGGACCTTAAATTTGGAATCGGTAGTTCAAGATTGATTGTTTCACAGCAGTTACACTATGAAGCGCAAACAAAACGAAACAAAACACCTGTTTATGTTCAACTCCTTGAACATAAACCCACAGGAAGGTCTTGGATTTTGAGTAAACGCAACCTAAAAACATAGTTCACAGGTGAGAAAACAGGGAGGCCTGAAGCTAAACCGTAACCTAGTTGTTGTGTTTTCATAGAGATCTGCATTCAAACCCTGCACACTCTTCTTGCCCATGGACTACACAATCACTGCACAGAGGCTGCAGCCCAGATACCATCTAATAAGCAACATAAGAAGAAAATAAGGCCTAACAGGCAGAGAGCAGGATCCCTGCAGAAGAAGCCCAAACAAACTAACAGTCGTATGAATGAGACGGCATCATTTTGCATGAGATTCAAATTGTTTCAGTCACATCCTGCATATTAGAACCTGACTGAGAGCTTGTATGCCACTGCTGTTTTTCAATTAAAGCCAAATCCAACAGTACTGAGAAAAACGTTGTCTTTTACACTGATAAGAAAACCTCTGACTATAGAGGAATTAATCTCTATGTGTGCGCCTGTACTCCGCTTTTGTTGACAACTGCTCATCCTCTTTTCTTCACACTTAGCAGGTGTACGGTTGGGGACCCAAGGAAATGCCATGCTTGGTGTAAAGTTGTCTGAATGAGCTGCCCTAATATAGATAGTTAAATGTTGTGGTTTTTGTTATGCTTTAACAACACCATGTTTTTAATAATGACTTCCTCGGGATGCTGCTCGTTCTAAACTCAAAGCATTCGCACACATTTTTCCACCTACTGTGAAGTTGTTTGGGAGGCCATCTTTAGTAACTATCAGCTGTTCCGCAATCTTCACACACTCCCACACACACAAACACACCCCGTCCTCTTTACAGTAATGTTTTAGGTGTGTGCTAGCTCTTTTCCTCCTTTGTTATTGCAGCACACATACACACGATGATCCACAGCACACGGCTGACCCTGATCCGTGTGCTATAGATACATAAAAAAGGCTTTTCTGATAAAGTAATACAAAAACATGTTTTAAGTATATTTCAAACAAATATCAGCAAATCTTTATTTTTTTCCTCACATTTAGAAAGAAAATTTTTAATAGAAAAGTCTCTGGTTGTAATTCTCGTTAGCCATGTTTTGACTGGTGGATTTTCATTATCTCTGTAGAGTAAAAAGGTTTTAAAGCAGGCACAAATACATCGTGCGTAAGTGGAAAATCCTTTTCTGTGGAGCCGACTGGCATTCTTTCTTTATCGGTAAGAGAGGATTTAATTAGAAAACCAGCCTTTTTACTTCACCGTATGAATATTAGAGCAAATACTCTATATACATAACTGCACCACACACCTGAGGACCCAATGAGAGAGACTAATTCCTGCACTCAGCCTCAGAGCAATGTTTCCCAGCTGGCACTAAACCTCTCCTGCCATTTAACTCTGAAATCAAGATAAGCCTCGCAGCTGAGCCCGACAACTCTATTATGAGTGTATAGTGTGTTCTATGGGAAGATAAAAAAAAAAGTTCCACAAACCAAAAACCAATTACCACCGTCACACAAACCAGAAAGATAAATACGAGCCTACAAAGTGGAGATTTATTTGCATTTTTCAGTTTTTAAATTCTAATATTAAATGATTAAACCCCATTTATTTTCTCTCAGTTGTATTGCATTATAAAAATGCCTTCATATGTTTAATCAGTTAAAAACTTCTCTTGTCCAAACTAATACTAATAGTAATTCCAAGCAGCTGTAGGGAAAATGCTTCCAAATGAATTATAGAAATGTTTTCTAAGGGTTTTGTCTGACACAAATCAATTTTATTACTTTGGACATGACTTTGCACACATTTTCCATAAAACTATGAATAAAACATGGTCTTACTATTATGAACTAGTTTGAATCACTATGCAAATGGAAAACTTTATTTCTGTGATACACTACATCCTAATATGCAAGCATCGAAATGTCTTCATGTTTTCAGGGCAGTTTGTGTGGACTCAGGGGTGACCGGCGGTGTCAAACATAAAGCCCAGGGGTTAGAACCAGCCCTGGTAAAGACTCCAATCTGGCCCGCTGGATAGTTTTGAAAAATGTGAAGGAGGGGATACATTTTGGACTTTTAACTGTAAAAGACCTCCCCGCAAAGCCATTTATACCACACCAGACTAAATAAGTAATAGACAAACAATAAAAAGGCAGAAAAATTTCCACTATCTAATACAGAAATATCTTTCCTTTTTTCCCCTGTTTTTCCCACAATGGCTTCAGAGTATTTTCTGTGAAGTGCTTTGACATCCCCCTGCTAGCGATAGGATCGTGTCCAATAAGCGCTGGGCTGCTCCAGCTTTGACCCTTTGGTGCACAGAGCTGAGGTGGAAAGCCCACAGCTGGCTCATCTGAGTGTGTGGATTAGGATGCTTATAAGCGGCAGTGATGGGAGGATTAGCAGGGATGTGTAATGGACCACATCTCCTCATTTTAGGGCAGAGAGCTCCAACAGCAGATGAGCGCTCGTGGATCAGATGATTAGCACTGCATCACGCACACGTTCATCTAGCCCCGCCGTGTTACACTTCCACAGCGTAATATTAGCGTGGTACTCTGCTGGGGCCTTGCAGTTTGTTTGTTTTTTACACAGTCTAAGCAAAGGTGTCTAAGGGCAGGTCTCTCTGCTTCTCTCTCTGAGCACATGAGGGACTTTGTTCCCAAAAGGATTTCTTTTCTTAAGATGAAGGTCCCAATTAAGAACAGAACACATGTAGCCGTTCCCACTTTACAACATAATGAAGCCAAGAAATCACCGTGACACCAGTCATGCAGAAACAATAAGAAGATGCTCGCTTTATTTCTAGATTTGAAAGAACATAAAATCTGATTGTTACTGTGAAGAAACACAACTGAGCACCAGGTTCTGGTAGAAATATAAAGGGTGTATGAAAAAGAAAGTCCAATTTTAAAGTGCTATAATTATGCAGCCCTTCCAAGACCAGTAACGATCAAAACGCACACTGTCAGAAAGATGGGATTTGTGACTTTCATGTGGTTGTTGGTAGGTAACATAACAACAACAGCAACTCCAGAGATGATTTCAAAAGTATGGGACGAGTCTGAGCACTGTATGCTGTGTGTCTGGAGGGAAACAGCACTAATGACTTTATACTTTGTAATCAGCTGTGTTTTAAAAATTACTACAAAGCTTCTATGTCCATTACTTTAAAAAAGCGCTATGAAATCAGAGGATTCAGAGGATGCACTGTACATTTTATGTCACTGTGAAGCAAACAGAGAATAGTGAATACAGCTGTCAGATATTTGTTGTGTGTGCAAGCTGATGCATATTTTATGGGTCTGCCTGCAGTCATCTGTGTACATTTACATGCCAGATAAATCTTTATATATATATATACACAATAGATCTTTGAACCTAAAAAACATCAGTCAATGAATGGAGGCCAGCAGCCTCCGAAGTCTTACATAATGTCATGACCCATTAGTCTGAGGTGTTAATTATTAACAGTTTACAAGATGGTAATGTCCCACAAAGTGGGACACACTTTTTGTGCTGGCTCACATCTGCAGCGTTTGATACTCAATATTTTGGTCATCAGATTCAAGACAAATCTAGATCTGTCTAAATCATGGGGGGAATATTTCTTTTTTCCCCAAATAGAGCAGAAAAGCAAACCAGGTCCTAAAAGAAATCAGTTTCTTTATGACAGTGTCAAAGCATCAAGCTTCATAGAGATACATTTTTTGCAAAGGAGCCCTCGCAATGGATTACACTAGATTGTACAAACACATTTAAGAAAGAATTTACTGAAATTTAATGGAAAAAACTAAACAAAACAAATAAAGATGACACATCAAACATTGAGAAATTTGACACTAATTAGTAGATGACAGGTCCAGACAGCAGGGAGGCCAGCTTAGCACAACAGTGTAACTGCAATATGTGTGGTTTTCCACCGTTTTCACTAAAACCAAGCACGGATTCACTGAGTCTGGATGAAGCTTGTTTAGCTTTAATGGTGCCTTCACAAATGTGTGAGTTAACCAAGCTGTGTGCTCTGATGCATCCACAGAGGGTCACTCTCCTTGTTAGCTCACAGGATGCAGCCTTTAGGATTTTTTTCATGGATACCCTTCCTGTGGCCTAAAGGTCACTGCCATTCAACCTCGTTTTTAAACTGTCCCCTGCGTACAAGACTCATTAAATATTAAATACCCAAACTCTCAGTTGTTAAAATATTTAAGAAAAACTGACCATTACCGCAAAAATACTCAGCCTCTATTCGTATTGATTCAATTCAATTTTATTTATACAGCCCCAAATCACAACAACAGTCGCCTCAAGGCGCTTTATATTGTAAGGTAGACCCTACAATAATACATACAGAGAGTTAGTTTAGTTTTAAGATCTGGCCCCTGGTTTATTTTTAGTATTAGACAACTTTTCTACATTTTTGTTCTCCTTCTGTTGACATTTTTGAAACATGCTGCTTGCATCCAATTCAAAATAACCATATACATAAAATGTTTTTTCAGTTGGTACTTTACTGTAGTTGTTATAAAATACAAGGTTGAAAAGACCTGCAAATTACCTTTTACACAACAAACCTGATAAACTGGCAACTCTGCGTACACATTCATTTCTCATCTTTTAATTAGATAGAGCCTACTCGGATTAAATCAGGCTCTGATACCACAACCCACACAACTGAGAGCATACTATAACTCCTTCAGTAATCTGCACTACATAAGGACCTCCATAAACCTTATAAACTGGGCTGTATGATTTTTTTTTTTAATTGTAACTTATTCTATCTATTATCTAAAGTTTATTAACTACAGTCAGTGCTGGCTTATTTAGACAGAGATTTCAAACATACCACACACAAATATTCTGCCTTCATTAATGAAAAATTCACACTTAAGGGCATATAGAAATTCAGAGTCATGCTACAGCTGCTGGGACTGTACCTGCTTCACTCAGCGCAAAATACTTGTGAACAATGATCGATACTATGAATGACACTAAATAAGAACAAGAGAGGATGCTTAAACCCAGCCCCCTTCCTTCAGTGATTGTGGATGAATCACGGTGTTGAGCTGGGTCCACTGAGACGAAAGCCTAGCAAAACTACACTCACTTCCTCAGCTTCACCGAGTAAATATTTAACAATAGCTAAAGAGCAGCCGTGCATCTGCTATTTTAATCCGCATGCACTCCTGCAACAGATGATGACTTTTAAGCGGAATTTATAAATAGAATTACTTAGGTTATGAACTCCTAGCATCCTTTTCAAAGTCAGGGTAAATCATAATTTCCAGCTTCCAAGAAGCCTTGGCTGCTGTAGTCTCCACATACTGTGTCAACCAGCCCAACCGCAAACGCAGGCGGCAAACGGACACAAGGACACCCACATGCAAAACAGCTCCCAGGCCAGTATCTAGGATTAGACCACCATAATAACTATGCAACGCATACCCTGACCACTCCCTTACTCTGAATGCTGAGGACACTGCTGATTTATTCAAGAGGTTGTATTTCAGCTCAACTTAAATTTAGAAAGGTCGCTCCAGAGAGCTTCTATGAAGAAACTATGCGCATTATTTTTGCCCTTTCTGAACGAGGGACAAGTGTGGCTTGAAATCATTCACAGATGTGCTGGTGCTCTGCCACGCAAATGGAGAAGAGGCAGGGCCCCTCCCACACTCTGAGGCAGGCAGTGGAGATGGGAGGAAGCAAGGGAACCACAGCTCCATCTCCAAGAGCCTCTCACTGTGAGCCACACACATACAGCCTCAGTAATAGCCAAGCGTCTCTAAGCATTTACTGCCATGTGAAACAACATAATCTGACACTGTGGACCCTTTTTGTTCCCTGGGCCTTGCAAGACACATCTTATGTAACATACAGAGCAATGGAAGGAAAAAGAAAAGCTGGGCTGCAGTCGTATGTATGCAGTTTGCAATCAACTCGACCCTTATTACCATATTATGGAACATCCGCTGCCCTTCTCTGCTATGTCAATGCAAATGTGCAAACCCGTTGTAGTTTAAACAAGCAGCTACACGGGATGTTGGCAGGACATGAGACACAGCAGCGCGGCAGTGTCGTCACTGTAGTAAAAAGAAATCTCAATAAAGACAGCGAGCAGAGCAGATAGCTCGTGTTAAACCTGCACATTTGTCGTTTCAACAGAGAGGGTGAGAAGAGAGCAAGAGAGTGAGAGCTAACTCATCCAAAACAGCCCTCGCTCCTCCTCAAGCACCGTGAACAGTCAGCAGCTTACTAATACACACACATAAGCAAAAAACACACGCCTGCTTAGGTATGAGTCAGGCCTTACCTGCTCATAGTTTAACCGCTGAGCTTCTGATATCTCCTTAGGTTTGGTTTCCAGGATGTAGTCACCTGAAGAGAGAGAGAGAGAGAAAGAGAGCGATATTGGCAGATATGTCGAGTCATATTCCGGAGCAACGCAATTACTATCTGGATTGGAACTCATTACATGGAGTAAAGATTGTATCAGATGTTGTGAACTGTTTCTAGTGCTCACTGGTAGATTTTGTACTGGTCGGCTGTATCCCAAAAAAAGGTCTGTGACAAATATGGAGGATGAGCTGAATCTCGGTCATCTGTGGCGTCACCTGAAAGCTCCGCTGACTCACCTCTATAGCAATACAGGCTGTGCCAGAGGGCAGAGCCTGGCAGATGTCTGGCTCCTCTTTTATTTATTTGTTTTTGCCCTGATCAGTACTACCAACATGCAAGTCTTCACTCAACAAACTGAGACTTGACAGTACATCAGCTGTAGACAGATAAGTTTCAAGATGCGCCAAAAACACAGGTGACTGTTACATCTCAAGACAAAGGTTTCCGCTCGTTGCTAATTGTCTTGTTTTTCATTAGGATCTCACTGATGAACATTTTCAGCATTGCAAAGGGCAAATACATTCTTCCCCTCGCTGTGAATGTTTTACTGCCGTCTACTCCTTACTTTTAAAACTCTTGAGCAAGTGGTTTTCAAAAATGTTTCACAAAGAATCATAAATTTATTAGGAACTGGCAGGAGTATCGTGCTGCACTGTCAACACATATTTTCCCTGAGAACTGCTCAGAGGAACGCCATGGACGTCTTGTCGACAACGTCTATATTAAGTGAAAACAGCTACACGTTTAGGATAAAAACTGCTTTCATATGCATCTTCCTCAAACAGAACAAGTGGAATACATCCAATAAAAAGAGCCTCTTAAGCTTCCTTTTGTGTGATTAGTGCTTTATAATTGTAATGATGAAGTGGTTTCTTTGTGCGTATGCTGTGGGAAATAACTGCCCAGTTCTGAACTTGGCTTTTGAGTAAAAAGAAATAAAAATACAAAGCTCAGCAAAGGCTTGTTACGTTCTTCAACCTTTATTGGGACTTATGATATCGTGTGCCAAATGCATGCTTCACAAACAAACCGGAAAAGCAAGCGGATGCATTCACTCGGGCTTGGTATAGCCCTGCTGCCGTCTTCTACAACTGTAAAACACAAGCTTTCATTTCACAAAATGTTTGATCAGACAGTAGCCTAAAAACCACTTCTGTCTTACTTGCTGAACTGGACAGCCTTGACAAAGATTTTAGTGCAAGTCAAGATTTTTTCCAGCAGGGGGCCTGCCAGCTGACTGCTTTTACTACAGCAAGTCCACAACTGGGAAAACCCCTCACTGCTGACCTGTTGACTCACTGATCCCTGACAGTCACTTAATATCTGTATCTATCTGCCGGATCTCTGGCATGCTACGCTGCTTACTCGTGAGCTGTGACACTCAACCATCAGCCTTTTAAAAACACCACTTCTGAGCTTGGTGTTTACGTGTTACGACAAAGAGGCTATCCAGAAGCCCCTTAACGCTACGCAAGACTGTGTGTGCCGCAATTATGTGCAAGCACGAGGTACCACACGCACACAGCAATTTTAAATGCACATAGTGATCAGGCCGCACAAATCTGCCACTGTCTGTCAGTGTGATCAACAGAGACGAGGTATGTCTCACACACAAGTAATCCTAGTAAATCTGTTGTAAAACCTTACGTGGATCATTGTGCACTGGAGAGTGACACAAGTGTGGATCGGTGACTCTACCTCTGAAGAGCCCCTTGCTAATGTGACACTTTATTTTGATATTTGAAGTTTAATTTTAGTTATGAATGACAGGACACAGCTCCTGTTTCCTCTGCAGCAGCACGAGACTGGCTGATGGGGGATTCCCCTGTGCTGCTCTCTTCCTCTGATGACTCTGGAATTATAATATATATATATATATATATATATATATGACCAGTATTGGGAAGTAACGGAGTACATGTGCCACCGTTACGTATTTAAAATACAAAATATGAGTAACTGTATTCCGTTACAGTTACCGTTTAAAAGGTGGTATTCAGAATACAGTTACTTTGTTGAAATAAAGGGATTACACGGCGGTCTTTTCCTTTCCACTATGTTAGGCTATGCTCTCTCTATTTTTGGTAATTCCACACTGGTGGAAACCCAAACAAAACACGCATTAAGAGGCTCTAATGCCTGTGTCTCAATCTCGCGGCTCATGTCACCTCTACTTGCGGCCCGCATAATGACGTGAAGAAATATTTTTTAAAAATGATTTAATATGAAGGCAATAGGCAGAGTGTTACAGGCATCGCCCTAAAGAATGTATCCTCATGGGCAGTGTAGTCCGTGCTGCAGGGTGAATGGACTGCCATACCCGTTATGTGTGAGCGAGGGAGGGAGGAAAAAGGAGAAAAGTACGAGTTGTCACGGAGCAGAAGCGGGAGATGGAAGCATGTAAATATAATAATAACCACTGCAGCCAAAAAGAGTGCCTGACAAGCCCAGTTGTAAGTAAGCTATTAAGACTGGACTGTACACGGTGTTCTTGTTTTTCTCCGAAACAATAAATTCCTTTGGAGCAGCCTTTCAACGCCTCTCTCTGTCTCTCGCTAGCAAAGTTGACCCACACAGCAAAGTAAAGCCAGTTTTCGGCTACGAGCCCGACACAAACCCGACGTATTAGCCAGAGGACCCTTTACCTCGGTTCGACCTGTTTTATATACGCGTGGAATAGTTTTCTATGTTGCTGCAAAAAAGTGCAGCCTTACCTAATGTCCATCCTACTGTTACTCATTTTATGTTAAGATTTAAACATCCAGTTGGTATTGGTATGGCGAGTAACCCTCAATAAAATCACACAGCAATAGTACATTCATGTAGTTGTAAAAAGCATGACAATATATTAAGTAATCCAAAGTATTCAGAATACTCTCATTGAGTAACGTAACGGAATACATTACAAAATACATTTTGGGGCATGTATTCTGTAATCTGTAGTGGAATACATTTTAAAAGTAACCTTCCCAACACTGTATATGACCTTTAAGTATGTAACCGCTCATTAGAGAGGACATGAAACACAAGAACGTTTATGAGGGCACTGAAACTCAGTGGCTTTGCAGGCTTCTATGTTTACAAGTGCATGGACTCATGGGCGCCACTCCAAATACAGGTTAGTGTGATGCTGTAGGAGCAGCCCAAGATACTGCTACTGGATTATGCTGCTTTTTGGACTTGTCACTGAACACACATGGGAGACTAAGTGCTGTCAGGATTACAAAGACTTACCGAGATACTCCATCAGTTGCTCAGCAGTTATAATTTCCATCATAGGTGGCATCTTAACCTGCAACAGACGTATGCAGAGCCATAGTTCATTAGTAATTTTTAAAAACAACACAGCGGGACAAATATGTAAAAGATATGTACATCATATATCCTGTAAGCACTTAAGGTGTTTGGGCACGATGGTTTAACTAGTGAAATCACGTAAAGACGTGTCTTGGCTAAAATTAATAAAATAAAAAAAAAGGTAATGCAGAGCGATGAGACTGACTTGTGTTATTAAGTTAAGTCTTAATACACACTTTTTCTTTATAAAGGCATGAAACCTGTCAGAGCTCAGGGATGCATTAAGAAATCTGCCTAATTATATCAGTGTAAAATCAAGTTTGCATTGATCCACAGTCATTTCCAAGCCTTTACCTTCCATGCAAGCAGAAGGACATTCATGATGGCCAGTAATGGACAGGGGCCATTCTCGTTCTGGGTGATGATCGGCGTATTCTCCTCCCTCCATTTGATCCACTTAATGTGGTATATGGACTGGCCGGCGGCCCTGTCCTTCGCATATGAACTCTTCGTGCCATCAGCCCCGTACTCGTTCTGCAGGGCCAAGGCCAATCCTCTTTCCTCCAGCCCCTCACTGTTCAGGTCGGAGCTGGGGCAGGAGTTGAGGTTGGAGAAGGACTCGAGTGAATCTATGCTTCGAGACTCTCCACCGAGACTGGGATCGGGGTCACTCCCACTCGGCAATCCCTCTGATAAGGCGTTATCAGCGGGCAGCCCCGACTTGACGTTTTCTGTGTTTGCATTGTCCGGACACAGATTAGTCGGTTTGGCAAGTTTTGTCGGCTCACTTTCTCCGCTGGCGGAAACCTCAGCCTGCACATCTGCGCTCTCTTTATCGGGAGGTGAGGACGAGGCGTCGGTTTTGTTGTTTACCAACTTTGAGGCACCACCCTGGCTGTCTTCTGCGGCCACCACAGAGTCATGCCCCATCCCGTTACTGATCCGATCGGACCCCGACCACAATTCGCTCGCCTCGGCGTTCTTCTTCTTCTTCTCGTATCCCTCCTCTTGCTGCTGCTCGGGGAGGACTTCGACCACTTCTTGCACGTCAGACTTCCCGGTACTGGTACTGGACGTGACATTACTGGGAGCACCATCGGTTGTGGTGCTGATATTATAACTAACGTTAACCAAACTACTGAGAGGAGCCTCACTATTCTTGCATTTGTCGACTGTTCCTTTCACTCCAGCGACAGTAGCAGGTTCGCCCATTTCTCCCGCAATCGTAGCACACAAAGAGCTCCCGTCAGCGTCTCGATGCAAGTTTGCATTTTTCTCCATTTCGGTTTACGAGTTGTCGACAGATTTTAGCTAAATTGCAGCGATAGCTTCGGTCCCAAAGACGCCATGACAACTCTGCGAGTGACGTCATCAGAGTGAATTGCTTTCAGGCCGAACGAGGGGGGCGGCAGACAACCAACAGCCAGGCAGTGGTGCGTTTGTGTCACCTCGTATTCTGTAAACTCTAAAGCTTATCACTCACATTAAACCGCGTGACCCACTCGACGTGTTACTTAATCTACGTGTCTGCACACCATTTTACACTGTGGTGACAAGCTTACATTTCACGCCTTAACATTTATCTGTCATTTACTTAAAGATAAATATATATATAAAATGTAGAATATTTCCCAGTTTGAAACTAACGCAAAGCTCTCACTTTCAGCTTGCCTGTGACAGGCAAGCTGAAAGTGAGAGCTTTGCGTTTATTTAATAAATAAATAAAAATAAAAAAAACATTTAGAAGTATTTGCATCAGCTGAATCACATGTAGAATAACTTAATAGTCGGGGCTGCCTTTCAAAGCGCTAAAATGTTCAGGTGGTTACTTTTACGAGTACTCGTAAATTGATAAGAGCCTGGCGTAGCCGTGACCGCTTTGCGTCCCAGTGCACGCGCATTTGTATTGCGTGATCTCGCGTAGCTGGACCTCCCAGGTCCAACTCTGGTTATCGCGAGGTTGTCACTGTCTGTGAGTTTTAAAAATTCACAACAAAGTATACTTTTTATTGGATGTATTTTATTAATTTGTTGTTTGACAGTTTAGTGTATACTTTTGTGTCTACTTTTTTAATCCTTGTCTATTTTTTAATACAAAAAGATAAATAAAAATAAATACATACATACATAAATAAATTTTAAAAAGCGCAAAAACGGAGTAATCTTTGAGTAGATTAAATTTTCCCACACTGGAAATTCTTGAGATAGAGCTCTGGCTGTGCAACAAAAGCCACATCTAACAGTTATAGATCCCACATGTAGTAACGTTTTATAGACACTGGGTGGGAGAAAATACTCAATCTAGCACAAGAAACGCAATTTAGTGTTTCAGCACAGATTTTACTGGCACAAATGTCTGCCACAGATAGTATTTAGTAACGTCCTATAATGGCAAAACCCAGAAAAAGCTGCAAAAGGGAAATATACAAAAAATTCTTAATAAAGTGTTATATTTGATTTGGCTCTCAATATCACAGTGGAGCTACATGAAAATGATTGTAGAAGTGGGCAGCTAAGGAAAAAGGTCGTTTTACGTGGCCATTATTATAAGTTTGACAAGTTCATCTACAGGTTAATATAAAAAGGGGAACTTCTTAACATTGCATGCTTGTTTTGTCATTTTGAGTGATGTGGCTGCCCATAATTTTCTAGTCTGCAAAAAAACAAACAAACTTGGAAGTCCATCTCTCTCCTGTCTCAGTAATTTACAGATTTTGATTTTCAGTTCTAATTCTTTATTTGCATTGATTTCTTTGTTGTTGTTGTTACATGCCCACAAACAATATTGTGTATTGTTTTCACTTGTTTTTAGATCCTGCTATATGCGTAATCTCTCTTATAGTATTCCAAGCCTCACCATTCTCTAATGCAAGACACTTGTGTCCCTTCAGCATTGGAAATACATCTGTCTCTTCAGCTGATCACTGATGCTGTTCACTGAAGCCTCATCAGAAATTATCTCAGCGGAAGGGCGCCTTTCAAGAAGCAATTCTCATGAAAGGGAAACAAGGAGAAAAGGCTGAGGTATGCTAGATTACACAAGAACTGAGCTGAAAATCAATTGCAACAGGCCCGATGGAGTGAGGAATCCAAATGAGACATTTTGGGTTCAAGTCATAATTAGAGCAGCTGAGGAGAGAGGTGCAACAGTGAGATGCCTGCAGTGGTTTGAGACTGTATTTCAGCCACTGCTGTTGAGAATCAAAACTGATGAAATCATAAACACAGAAAAGTACCAAAGCATTTTTATTGGCAATGGCTTAATTTTTCAGCATGACAACGACCCCAAACACACTGTCAATGCAATAAAAATACAACTGGATAGAAAAGACACATTGCCAGTCATAGATTGGTCTCCCCAGAGCCTGGATTTCAACATTAGTGAATCAGAACATAACAAATAGGTTTCATCACCCAAAGAACACTGCAGACTTTTGCGGGGTACAATAAATTGTATACACTGCAGCTAGAATAATCCTTCTGGCTGAGGTGGTACAGGTATAGAAAGCCAGTGTTTCTCTGTAATTTATATACCCTTATACTTACCTGCTGGTCCAATTACAGATGCAAGTCTATTTTACACGGTTACCATGCGGTTGCACAAAGCAATAAACAAATAAATATGTATACTGTCAAAATATTATTTCATTTTTTTCTTCAAATTGTATTTTTGTAACTTTTTTCTTTTAGTTTGTATCTACTTAATCTCGAAATAGTACTTCGAGATTCATTAGTACGTTTCAACTTCATTCTTTTAAAAAAATAATTAAAAACGAATGACTAATCCTTTCTTTCCCGAGTTCTCTTTATGCTGATGTTACAGACCGGTTTGTTGCGAATCCTCGCTCTCAGAGAGCAGTCTGTGCCTTGCATGTACAGCGCAGTTTACATAGACAGAGAAACAGGAAATGTATAACTTCACTATCACAAAGTTATATCTTTAGTTTTTAAACCCGGAAATAATGTGTGCAAGCAGTAAACAGCAGATCAGTGCGTGTTTTCAGCACAGGAGCAGACACATTTTGGTGGCGTTGTGTAAAGCTCAGTAGTGTTTTGCAGTTGTTTTCACATATCTTTCAACCTACGATCGCAATACTATAGAAACGCAGAACAGCGGGTGTGTCCATATCTTTTGGCCCCATACACCGGAAGGGAGTAGTGCCTGCCTGTCTGTCTCTCTCTGTTTATGACAGTGTGTAGCGCTGTTGGAGAGGTAGAACTGCCGGTGTTTGCGATGGGAGTCACAGCTAACTAGGAAGGGCGACTCTGTCTTTAAGTGTGGCAGAAATCGAAACAAGCAACTGTCAGGGGTATCGCTGTGTAGCTTCGCTGGTTAAGCGGGACTACAGGGCATTTCACTATGGAATTTGTCAAACTAATTCTTCTGTTTTGCTGCCTACACGATATTGCAGGTAAGTTTGCCGTTGACTAACAGAGAAAGTCTTTAGAGCTCGCCAGTAGAGCTAGCGCTAATCGGATCGTGTAGTTGTACTGTCGACAGTTTAACTTGCTAGCTAGCTGGCTGGCTAATGTTGTGGAGACTGCGGTTAACTTGTGTGTGTTTTTTGTTTGTGTTTTTTGTTGTTTATAGTGTGTAGTCAACCTGTATTAACTGGTTAGCTGGTTAATAAATTATGTTTGGCTGATACAGGTTAAGTACTCCTGTAGTAGAGGAGGGGGGGCTTGTCTTTCCGTCACTTGCTTAGTGGGAAATCTTTACACCGTTAACGTCTATAAACAAGAGTTTTACAGCCGAATATGTTTGTTACCATGGATATTCAGTGTCACTAGAATAATTTGAGACTAATTTAACAAAAACACTTTCGTTTTATCGGACAGTCTGTGAAAAGCAGGTTAGGTATGAAGCTGCGTGACAAGCAGTTGCATCCGTCAGAAAGGCACCTGAAGCAAAATACGGTACTTTTTTCTACTGCTGACTCAAGCATTTGGTCGAAAAGAGATGATATATATCCCGTTCTTACCATGGATGAGTAACTACCTGGGTGTAGATATATTATAAGTTTTAATATAACTTAACCACCTTACGAAACTTTGTCCAGGCCCTTCTTAATAACATATTTTCTACAGTATGTCAGATTGGTACTTTAATTGTACTTTAGGCATTAACATTTGTAAGACAAACAGAGCAAAACTGTGGTTTTGTGTAACTGGTGATATTAAAATAGATATAATTTGTGTGTAAATGATTAAAATAAAATCATCGCTAAGGGATTATTTCCAGATTTAGTACAGTTACACCACCTGCTTCACAAAACATCAAGACAGCCGAGCTTAAGCTTACAGTATAAAATGTGTGCATGTGATTAACTGCAGATACTACACCTGTGAAGTTTTCACTTATTATCTGTGAGGGCAGTGACAGATTTATTGAGAATCAGGACAGGAAAACCAAATAGAAATTGATTTCTGCCTTGTGTTGGTAATGAGCTGCTGTGCTACTTTCATATAATTGTATAATCTGGCAAGATAGCTGGTACATTATTATTCAATTTTCACTTTTTAACATCTGTCAAACCTTCATAAAAAGTTCTAATATCCTGTGGCAAAATATTGCTGCTGTGTTTGAAAAATTGCTTAATCTGTCATTATAAATAATTCAGTTTCTTGGCTTATTTCAGATTTGTTTCATTGTGATTACACATGAATCTTCTTTATGTCTTTAAAACTTTCATTTGACATGTCAAGATTAAGTACAAAGTGCATCAACGTATTTGCATAAAACATCTGTACTGGCGTTTTTTTGTTTGTTTGTTTGTTTTGTTTTTTTGCAGTAGCGCAAGTGAAATTGTGACTTGAGTGACTATGTTTTTTTCCCCCTGCTTCCATCTCACAACTTTACCTTTTTTTTTCTTTTTTTTTTTTTTGCCTGAACAGAAATGTATTTTGAGCTTTCAGTGTGGCCACTGATGTGAACACCAACATGAGAAAAACACTATTTATATTCTGGAAAGGGATCGGGAAGGTGGGGCCAGAAATGTCCTGATCAAAACGTTGCACTTTGTGTTTTTTAAATTTTATTAATTAATTTATTTTATCAGTTTAACATAAGCTAAAAGATTGCATTCCAGAGTTTTCAGATGTACAGCATGACTGATTTATTATACAAGCTCAGAGTTGTTTTTGACACATGTTTTTCCACAAAGCTTCAAACAAATGGCACTTTATGTCATTCCACATGTACCTCTGAAAGATATGTTTGATGTAAGAGGGGCCATTGCAATTGAGTTTGCAATTTGATATCTTGTTAGTAATGATGGCGTGACACGCAACCAACCAATCTTACTCTGTTTACATGCCCAGACATTTTCGAGGAAGTCTGTGTTTCATGTAATGTAGGT